CCCAAATCCCCTCAGAAACACCCACAGACCCCCAAATCCCCTCAGAGCCCCAAATCCCCTCAGAGACCCCATAGACTCCCAATTCCCTTCACAGCACCCCATATCCCCTCACGAAAACCCAAATGTCTCAAAAATCCCCTTAAGCCCCCCCGGTATCTGTCCCAGACCCTTATTACTCCTCATAATCCCTCAAAACAAACCCCGTTTTCACCCATTTTCACGCGTTTCCCCACATGGAAAAGCGCGGGAAGCCATCGAAGCCCCGCCCCTCTTTCCGGAAACACCCGAAGAGAGACGGAAAAGCCCGAAAGGCTCGCTCCGACGGGGGACGGAAATTCCCGAAGACGGGCGGAGATTCCCGAAGGCGTCGGGCAATCCCGACGGAAGACGGAGATGGACGGAAACTGACGGAAGTTGCCGAGCGCCGGCGGAGGGAGTCGAGAGTGGGAGGAGCCGAGCAGAGATTCACCAATGGCGAGCGAGGATTGCGGGAGGTGGGCGGGGCTTCCCGCAGGGGGTGGAGCTCGCCTGGGGTGCGTCGCTCTTTCCGTTTCCGGCGGCCGAAGCGAGCGGAGGTGCCGCGTGGGGCTCCGATTTCGGGCGGTTTCGGGGGGGCTTTGAGGGGTTTCCCGGTACCGGGGGAGGGGTCCCTGAGGGTGGAGTGGGCTCGTTAAGGGCGGGGGGGGGGATGCGGGGAGGGGAATCGGGGATGCGGCGAGCGCTGAGGCCTCTCCCCGGGGCCTCCACCCCCCGGTCCCCGCAGGCGCCATGTCGGCCCATCTGCAGTGGATGGTGGTGCGGAACTGCTCCAGTTTCCTGCTCAAGCGGAACAACCAGACCTACAGCACCGTCAGTACCCCCGAAACCTTGGAGCGGACACCCCGAAATTAAGGGAGAACACCCCGAAGTTGGGGGGGGACGGGGACGGGAACCGGGCTTGGGGACCCCCCCCAAAGCCCAAGATACGGTTTTTAACACCACAAAGGGGGTCCCAGGTGCTCCCCCAACACCCCAAATCTTGGGGGGACTTCCCAAAACCCCCCCCCCAACCCCCCAGAGGGGGCTCCAGACACCCAATTGGCCCCCCATTAACAACTGAAGGGGGTCCCAGGTGCTCCCTACCCTCCCCTCAAACCCTTGGGGTTCCCTCCTGAGCCCCCCCCAGACCCTTTTGGGACCCTCCAATTTTATTATTTATTATTTATTTTCCTTCTCAAACTCTTGGACTTCCCCCCTGAGTCCCCCCAGACCCCTTGAGCTCCCCCCCAAATTTTCAGGGATCCCCCTTGGGACCCTCCTCATCCCCTCGAAACCCACCTCAACCCTCCGTGACCCCCCCAAAACCTTCTCCCCCTCCCCCCTCCCCGTTCCAGGAGCCCAACAACCTGAAGGCCCGGAATTCCTTCCGCTACAACGGCCTCATCCATCGCAAGACCGTGGGCGTGGAGCCGGCTCCCGACGGGAAGGGGATCGTGGTGGTCCTCAAGAAGCGCTCAGGTGGGTGCCCCCCACCCCCTGGGTGCCCCCCGCACCCCCAAAATCTCAGGGGACCCCCCCGAACCCCCCCTTTCGTTCCCAGCCGGCACAAAATGCGTCCATGTTGTGATATCAGGGGGTCTCGCTCCACCTCACCCCCTTTTGGGGCGCCCCCCCACCCATTTTCTCTCTTTTAGGGTGTCCCCCACTCTCTTCTCCCCCTTTTTGGGGTCCCTCCACCCCTTAAAATCTCGGGGGACCCCCCCCTATC